GAAAGCATGCAGTGAAAACAACAAAAATAATTAGGAACTGGAGGATGAAAGATATGAAGAACGGTTGCAGGAACTGGGTATGTCTAGTTTAATGGAAAGAAGGATTGGGGAGACATGATAGCAGTCTTCCAATATCTCAGGGGTTGCCACAAAGAAGAGGGAGTCAAACTATTCTCCAAAGCACCCGTGGGCAGAACAAGAAGCAATGGGTGGAAACTAATCAAGGACAGAAGCGACTTAGAACTGAGGAGAAATTTCCTGACAGTGAGAACAATTAATCAGTGGAACAACTTGCCTTCAGAAATTGTGAATGCCCCAACACTGGAAGTTTTTACAAAGAGATTGGATAACCATTTGTTTGAATTGGTGTAGTGTTTCTTGCCTAAGCAGGGGTTGGACTAGAAGATCTCCAAGGTCCCTTCCAGTCTTTCTTATTTATTTATTTATTTATTTATTTAATTAATTTTGTATGCCGCCCACTCTCAAAAGAGTCTCAGGGCGGCTTACAATAAAAGGGAGGGGGTATATAAAAAATAAATAAATAACAGTTTAAAATTACATAAGAGTCACAAATCTGAAGTGGGGCTGGACAACTCAACAGTCCCAGGCCTGCAGGAACAGCCAGGTCTTAGTCGCTTTGCGGAAGGCCTGAAGGGTGACGAGGGTCCGTATCTCCACGGGGAGCTCGTTCCAAAGGGCCGGAGCTGCAACAGAGAAGGACATCCCCCGAGGTGTCACCAGCCAACATTGGCTGGCAGATGGAATCCGGAGAAGGCCAAGTCTGTGCAATCTAATCGGTCTTTGGGAGGTAATTGGCAGGAGGCGGTCTCTCACGTAACCTGGTCCGATGCCATGTAGGGCTTTAAAAGTAACGACTAGCACTGAAGCGTGTTTGGAGACCAATGGGAAGCCAGTGCAGCTCGCGGAGGATAGGTGTAATGTGGGTGTACTCGTGCGGCTGCATTCTGGACTAACTGAAGTCTTCGAACACTCTTCAAGGGCAGCCCCATGTAGAGCGCGTTACAGTAATCCACTCTTGAGGTGACGAGGGCGTGAGTGACTATCCGAAGAGCCTCCCGGTCAAAATAGGGTCACATATTCTATTCTCTTCTGTTCTGTTCTGCTTGTCTCTGTTCTATTCTATTCTACTCTATTTTACTCTAAACTCTACTCTAAACTCTTCTCTAAACTCTACACTATAAACTCTGTTCTGTTCTGTTCTACTGTACTCTAAACTCTACTTCATATGCTGCTATAAACTGTGTTCTGTTCTGTTCTGTTCTGTTCTATTCTATTCTATTCTATTCCATTCTATTCTATTCCACTCTACTCTACCCTACCCTAAACTTTATTCTATTCTACTCTAAGCTCTACTCTATATGCTGTACTAAACTCCTGTACTGTTCTGTTCTGTTCTCTTCTATTCTATTCTATTCCACCCTACCCTACTCCTGAAAGTCCTGTTGGGGAGTTGACTGGAAGTTCTCCAGGTGGACAGATGTGTGGGGGGGTGAGCTCTCAAGACTCTCACGTGAACCCTTGGATGTACTAAAAGAGGAAAAGGTAATTCAAACATGGTTTCAGTATGGGCAGCTACAGGCCAAATGGAAAATAGATAAAAAAAATTGGCTTTATGCAAGTCGAGGATAATTTACTNTTTTCTTCCCCTGCAACCTTGTACTCTACCAGATAGCTGGAGATTGCAGCCTTTCCATATTCATCTGGCTGAAACTTCAACTGAATGCTGTCGTGTCTCGGTTCACTGATCAGCAAAGGGAGAGGTTTTGAGGGCCACTGAAAGTTCTTGCTGACCAGCTCTCCATCTTCATAAAGATAAATGGAGGCTCCTGGGGTGTCCACATCTGGGAGTGAGGCCACAATAAAGTGAACCTTCTCATTTGGTTCATTGATACTTAAAAACTCTCTGATGGATTTGGCAACTTGGCGAGCATTGTGGATCCTCTCCTTGTCCTCAAACCAGGCCAAGCCTTTCTTGACCTCGGGAGTGGACTTTGTGGACTTAGTCGATTCTTCTGAGAATTGCTCCTGAAGTCACTCCTATAAATTCAAGAGAAATGACTCCTCTTCATGTAAAGAAGTGAATATAAAGGAAACCATATATACATTCTGGGGGTCCAGAACTATTTTTTCCAGCTTGTTCTGAGATGAGATCACTTCCATATTATTTAGAATAGTCAGACAAGAGTTGACATGGTTAATTTCTCTTTTCTTGGTGTCCAGAAATTCATGGAGCCTTTGGCTGTTGAAGGGTGACTGTTTGACAGACCTCAAGAGGTCCACTAGGGTCCCTTCCTCCTGCCCTCCTCCCCGGATGGAAGGCAACACTCTGGTCAGCTGTTTCTGGAAAATCTGCCTGTGTTGCTTTAACAGATTCTTGAAATGCTGGATCTTCCTCTGGATCTCAGGGAAGGTCTGAGCAATGGGATCGTTGGCTAGATCATTGCTTTGCATCTCAATGTCATTGAGTTCCTCCAAGCTTTTTTCAGCATCACAGATCCATACAACGTTGATCTCACAGATCATCTTAGCTCTGCGGTCCAGCTTGCTCAATGGGTAGAGCCAGACCCGCACTGGCACAGCCTTCTCTTCATCTTTCCCTAATATTTTTGGTAGAGTTGTGTAAATCTGCATGACATCTTCTAAAGTCACTGGATTTTTGTCCAAAGAAAAGTCTCCATGAAACTTGCAATTGAACTTAAGAACATTCTCTTTCTCCTTCTCATTTAGCTTCATATCTGGTTCTCCCGTGATGGATATCAGCTTCTTGATTGTAACCTGGAGACTTTCTTGTATATTTTTCACCATCTCCGTTGAAGAAACTTCTCAGTCAAAGACAAAGAAAGCCTGGGCTCCATAGAGGATGGCGGTGACCACATGAGTGGCTGTGCCATTCTCAAAGACAGCTGGGTAAGAGACATTCTGGATTCCCAGGTGGCTCATTGTCAGCTGTTCATACTTGGTGGTGGTTTTGTACTGAAGGGTGACTCTGGCCTGTTGATTGGACTTCTTGGTGTCCTGAAGATACTTAGCTGACCCACCCACTTCAACCAGCCCTCCCAGGAAACTGGCCTTGAGGGAGGCTGAGATGTCCAGAGCAGAGGCCTTATCCTCTATGCTGTCAGATGCAATGATTTCAGATTCTGTCTTGGGCTGAGGCTTGATGGTCAGGTCCTTCTGAAGAGAGCTTTAGTCCCAAAGGGTGACTCCTGCACGGAGCACAAGGAAATAGGAGGATGAATTGAAACCTGACCTTGAAAATACCAGTTATTGGATAGAGAAGTTCCAGAGAGGTGGGGCAATAGAGACATCTTCCCCCTGGAGGCTTCCCCCATTTATGTCCAATCATCACCAGAGAAACATGGCAACATTTCAAAGGCTTTTGACTGAGTAGAGAGGAATGGGAATTGCTCTGCATCTATTGATTTCAAGAAAGATCTGGAACTCCTTGGGGAAACGATGTTTTCATGAAGCATTCAGAGTCTCCTGCTCCACAACTTCGAAAGTCTATCCCTGAGTTCACCATTCTATGGGGGAGCCTAGACTTCTTTTATTAGCTGTTTCCCAAACTATTTCGATGTTCTGTGGAGGAAAACCTTTCTATGTTGGGTAATCAATGCCAGTCCTGCTGCATCCTTGGTGAAGGGTTGGATATGCATTCCCAGCTAGGAGCTCCTATTTAGCTAGCTGCTACTAGCAGGCTATGCACCCAGGAGCTCAACTCTGTCCCTGGGTTGAGACTGCACATTGATGGCAGTGCCTGTCTCTCTCCCTCCCTCCGTCCTTCCAGAGACCCATCAGCCTCTCCTCCAGCTCCTACCTGGCATGAGCGCATCCTTGCGGCAGTCGTA